CGGTATATCCATGATTCATTCATGCGTGACATTTCTGATTGTCTTATATCCCCGGTGGTCGTTACTATTATTGAAACTGTTGAAACTTCCTGGTTCTCTGATTGACTGGTGAAGTGTTAAAAAAAAGTTGACACTTCTCACTGTTTTAGTTTTAGTTCGTGGAGTCAGACTTGCTCTCTGTACCTGTTTTGTATTTCCATTTCTTTGTCTCCGTTATTTTCATCTTTTACTTTGCTGAAAATGGTAATTCTATTTTGTTATTATCTGTATTTTGTAGCAGTCTTACTGGGCTAGGCCTAGCATAGGCTATGCCTTTATGGCCCCTAGTAGACTAGGCTAGGTGACTAGGCTCAAGGCTAGGCCTTTTTTTGCGGCATAGCATAGCCATAGGAGGAGGCCTCCGCTCCGACTCCGAGGCCTTTCGTAGGCCTAGGACTGGACCTAGTCCCAGACCGGCCAAAGAAGGTTACAAGATGGCTAGGCCTGCCCAGGTTTGCTTGAAAGTTTGGTGCTATTGTATTGCTCTAGCAAGTTTTTGTGATGGAACCGGATTGTGGTGGGTAAAGAAATTTTGAATTTGAGTAAATCATAATAATGAATGTAATTTTTTGTTTTCAGGCCACTAACCTCCAAGTATGTGGAATTGATCCGGAGCTACTAAAGGCTGTAAAGAGTCTACGTATGAAACGCACAACCAACAACGAATGTTTGGTTTGTAAGTACAAACAAAAACCTTTTTATTTATACAGAGATACATTCTTACTTGCCTTTTGTTTCCATAGGCATAGAAAAACTACTCCACATACATACTGTTGCACCTTGGTCCACAGTATAGGGAGGTTGTATTTTAAACATCAAACCTTATACTGTACTCGATATCGTGTTCGGTAAATTATATTAATGTTGATTGCATATTGTTCATAGCGATATTTGAGTGATATTTGTTTTGCTTTTTTTTTCAGTGAAAATAGATACAGAACGAAAAATTGTAATTGTAGATGAAGAGTTGAAAGTAAGCCATTTTACTTGAAAATTGTCTCAAATGCTAGCTTATTATCTATATTGATAGGATTTAATTTAAAAATATTAAACAAAGAACGCTAAATATTAGTTTGTATTTCAATACCATACAAAAATGCAAACAAAA